GAGACTCGAGGAGGAAGCAGACAGTGGTGCAGAGAAACGGCCTGTTTTGTCTCACTGTCCAAAACTACATCATTCATTAACACACCACAATTAATGTTCTGCCTCGGAGGCATACAAGTGTTGAGCTTATTAGCACCAAGTAGAAAGGTCTGAGGCTTTAATATAGTTTGCAAGAGGATTAAGAACACAAAAGGGGCCATAAATTTACAGCCAAATATAAACCAGCTGCTGTGGGCTGGACTGGGGAGGGGGAGGGAGGGAAGGAGGGAGATGGGGGAGAGGGGCGGGAGGAGGAAGGAGGAAGGAGGGATGGGAGGCGGCGGGAACATACCTTTCACCCTACAAAAACCCCTGACCCAAGTTGTTAAGAGGGTTTTTTTAGGGCTGGGGCTTTTTTTTTTGCATTTCCACCCAGCCCTGCTGCCCTCCTCCGTGTGACTTGTAAATCCCACGGTGGAAAAGAAACCATCCCCTTCGATTCGAGCCCCCCCCTCCCCAAATTGTACCCGTCAGCTCAAGCTGGATTCCAGCTGCCATCGGCTGGCCCGGCTCCAGCCCCTTCTCGACATGTCCGTGTCGGGCTGCTGCCCTGTGGGCTTTAACCCACGGGCAAAAGCCACTGGAGCTGGAGAAAAGGCTTTCATTGATGGAGGAGGGCTCCTGCTCACGGTCTCGGGGAAGAATTTGTCAGCTAGGTCGGCTCATTGACTTTAGACCAAATAGCGCTGTCATCTACAGTGGTGTAAATCCAGAGTAATTCCAATGGATTAAAAAAAAAAGCAAAGCGCGGGCGCTTCTGGCTGAAAGACAGATTTCATGAGTTTTTCAGACCGCCTTCCATCCCAAAATGCTCTGTAAGCTCAGACCCTGCTTTGAAAAGCCGTGCTGTGTCGGAGCACAGTTACAGCCCAGGAGCTGTACAGGTACCCTGCGAGATGAATCGCTTTAATGTAGGCTGCTCCGCCTTTCTGTGTCGTCTGGGATGGAAGCTGTTGGATGTCCCATGAGGCATGGAGAAGGTGAAACCCCTCCTGGGGTTGCAATGCTCTGCGCTGGGTGGAACTGCAATCTGCAGCCCATAGCTCTGCATGGGTCCAGGCTCTGCTTTAGAGTGGGAATGGGGGATGCCAGGAGCTAATCCCAGTGATGGGAGAGAGCTTTTCAGGCTCAGGATCTATCCTGCACTGTCTTTGTGTAGCTTTGGTTTTCTACTGCATCATACTCCACCCTTCCAAGCAGCTCGAGCAACCTGCTGAATTGTGGTTTGTAATATCCCGCTCGTCCCTCTGGGGACCGGGTGCTTTGTTTCGGATTAACGATGCTCTCCGTTACTTCTCAGGTGGCACTTCGACCACTAAATATGTCTCTCTGTCAGCCAGCTTGCTCTTAAAATTTCTTCTCCTTATTTTGTAGGGTGGCCTTGGGTCATCTCAGACCTTGTCATCTCCTTAGTTTAAAGCTCAGGTGAGGTGTCTGATAGTCGGCGGGAGCTCATGTGTTCAGAAGTAGGGACGTCCGCACCGTCAGATGTGTGCTCATCCCTGTATGATGCACAGAGGTCTTAGAAGACCTTACTCAGGATTTTGGTGGCAGAGCTGCTGGAGGAAGCGCTTTTCCAAAGCCTCTTCCCTTATTTCTGCCAAGAGATGATGCGTGCTCAGAAAGGTGTATGTATTTCACCTTTGGGATGGAGCGGGCTGCGTCCTGGGGTGAGGGTTTCCCTCTCATCCCCTCTGTGAGTGGGGCTGCCCCTCGTGCTTGCTTCGCTCCCAGCCCGTGGAGCACTTGGCAGGACTGAGGTCTAAGCCCTTCCGCGAAGAGCACTTGAGGCTGGTTTCTTTGCCAAGTCTGGCTTTGTGTCTAGGAGAGTCCATGCCCTGGGTTACTTAAATGCGTGGGGTTCCTTCCCTTTAGCCCCGGCCCTGTGCTTTGGGATGATGCAGGCGGTCGGCAAAAAGGGGACTTTTCTCCTGATATTTCTCCTCCGTTGGCTCCGCAGTGGTGGACAGGGCACTATCCCCGCTGCCTGGGCAAGCTGCTCTCCTCCTCTTTATCTCTGGGTAAATTCTCATCCCCACACCGCAGATCTGGGATTTTAATACGTGGTCCAAAACCAAACAGGATAGACCATCCCAGCTTGACCCAGCCCTTGGACGCTGATGAACGGCAGCTCTGAGCATGCAGCCGTCTGCCTGGTGGGTTTGCAGGATGCTCTTTCTCCATGGCTCCAGCCAAAGACACCAGCCACAGGCAGCGGGTGCTTGCCCCGTTGGACCTCTTCTTGGCCAGCTGATCCCACCTTTCTAATCCCTTCTGGCTGGACACAGCTTCCATTTCTTTGCCACACTACCCATTGACTTGATATCTTCTTTTTCTTTCCCTCCCTGTGTTTGATTCCCTCCTGGAAGAGCAGTGACAGTATGTAAGATGAATTTTACTCTCCTCAGATGCAGTGGTTCCTTGTGGATAAATGAGGAGAAGGCACTCGGAACAGCACGTCAGAAGTGGTGTAGGCACACAGATGCTGAAGAACCACAGCGTGTTTCGGTATTGCCGTGAAGTGGGCTAAGAAACCTAAATTGCTGACTGTAGCTGCTTGCATTTTGCTAGTGATGGCATTGGTTTTTTTTGAGACACGAGGCGGTTTTGCAGTGGGGGGTGCTGAGACAGAGGTAGGGTGTCCTGTTTGTTCCTTGCTCTACCTGCCCCCAGCCTGTTCATCGCAGCCTCTTTAAGGTGATACCCTGTTCAAGGGTTTCGGATCGAAAGCGGTCTCCTGTGCCGTGTGGAGGGTTTTTAGGAGAGATGCTCAGACACGGAGATTTTTGAGCTGTGGGGAAATGGGGTGCTTGGGCTCATTTTTATTCTGACCTCGAGTGGAAATACAAAATGCTAGAGTTTCTCACAACCCTAGATGTTTAAAAAAATTTTAAAAATTAGGGGTATAGGCAACCCTGAAAGGTGCATGACCATCATAATGTGGCCCAAGGGTGCTGAAATAATCTTTAAATTTTTTTCCACCACATTTCTCTTGAGAATCATTCCAATTTCAGTGAAACTGCCTTCTGCAAAGGCACTCCTTTTCTTCAGCTGGGCCGAGTTTGGAGATTCCAGCTACTGCAACCAGACTCCCTTTGGAGACGGGTCGCAGCGTTCATGGGGCTCTTGCATTTCTCCCTGGGAGACGTTGCTGCCTTCAGCCCCCCCGAGACACTCACACTCCTCACCTGCAGTCTGCGTGCAGTTCTATGCTTTGATGGGCAAACCCAGCCTTGCTCATTTTAGGTGGTCAGCAGCTGAAACTCTTGCCTTTTCCCTCTCAGCGCGCCTGGATTCCTCCCATGATGGAGCATGGCAGGAGACTGTGGAGCGGTCCATGTGCTCCGTTTTCCGATTATAGCATGGGGAGAAAAGGGAGCAGCTCTTTGCTGCGTGTCTGTGAAAGGCACGCAGCAAAGTGTCAGGGCAGCAGTGGGGTTTTGTGGAGGTCCTCTCCTCTTTGCAGTGCCTTACATAGTCTTCACAACTTTTTTGCTGTGTTTCCCCTTTGCTCGTGCTCCCGGTGCCAGGACAGCCTCTTGCCCATGAGCCTTCTCATCCAGCTCCAAAAATATCACGGTTTACAAGCCCGCTGGAGCATGGCAGTGGGCTCCGCGTCTGGCAGCCCCGCGCCTGATGCCAGAGAGAGGCAGACATCCATTCTAATGTGGCGACAGGACAGGGTTGGGACAAACACCGCCTGGTCTTTTGAAATGTAGGAAGAAATTGTACATCTCCAGGTTGAGACGCTGCTTTGGATGCTTCCTGACACATCCCGCCGGCCAAACCACCAGCGGGTGCCAAATTGGTTTGAGAAAACGTCTCTGCGCTCATTGTGCTTTGTTTGGTGGGGCCAGCAGCTCTGGCCGGTGTGGGCTGGATGAGACGCAGGTGTCTGATCCCAAAGCATAAGTTTTCCTCCTGGAGGGGAGGAAGGAAAAGCTCCGTTCCCTCTTTGCTGTGCTGATGTGCCGAGTGGGAGCAGGGGACCTGCAGATCATGGGTGGCAAAAGGCAGGGGCTGAAGCTGGTGCTTGGACTGGGGAGGCTTGACCAGCACCAAGGAGGGGTAACACAATGAAAAGCATTGTCCCTGCTAACTCCTTTCCACCCTAGCTACTAAATGAAACCTTTGCTATGCATGGAAATGCTGTGGGTTGAAGCTCGGGGCTCTTCACTTGAATGTCCGCTCCTCTGGTGTGGTTTAAGGATGGGGCTGGGGTATTCTCCAGCCAGGACTGGGAGCAGTTCACTGTCACACGGAGCTGGACCTCTCCAGGAGATCCTGGAGCTGAGACACTGGGAAGGAATTTTCTGCCTTAGGAAAATCATAAATCTTTAAATATCCTGTTTCCACTGTGAGACGGATTCGGAAGTTTCCAGCCAGGCTCGCTGGGTGGTGGTGTCTCCCTCGGCGCGGGGTGAGCATGTGTGTGCGGGTGTAAATGAATGCCCCCGGACAGAGCAAATCCCCAGACTTGGCTCTTTCGGGACATATCAAAATGTGAAAAAAATGGGGGCTCTTTCCAGCATCCCCCAAAAGCCCTGGCCACCGCCCTGGCACTACCACCGATGCCACCTGGCCGGATCCCCACCACGACTGGGCTATTGCATCTCGGTGTTAGCAAAGCTGAGCATCCCCTTAGAGCTGATTTTGCCTCTTGGCAGCTCTGGAACAACTGGTTTTTTGCGCCGATGCTCCTTGGCTTGGTCTTGCTCCGGCTGAGACGTTCGGCTCGGCTTCACTAGAGGGCGCAGGAATTTTAGGCTAGAAACGTCGGGGAAAGTTGGCTGCCTTTTCCTCCTTTTTAATCAACTGGAAAGATGCAGGGTTGAACTGGAGGTGACTGGAAGGGGATCCAGACTTGTGTCTGGCTGGGGAAGGATCCGCTGACATCTGGGATTAGGCGGCGTGGAGCGCAGCGGCAGCGAGTGGACAGGACATTGCGGCGAGCCGGCGGCATGGCCGGGGCTCACGACCTTGTCCGGCCCTGTGGTTGGGAGCTGTGGGCTCTCGCAGCTGAAAAAAGGGAAAAAAAAAGAAAAAAATTCCCCTCCAGCCCCCCAGTGCTAAATGCTCCCCCTTTTTCCGGCTGGGCAGGTGGTCTGTTGACCTCCATAGGGGCTCAGTCTTCTCTTGCTGAGGGTTTCCTGCTCTGCACCTTTGCTGAGCATCGTTCCTTGGGACGGGCACTCTCCTCTTCGGACTCTGATTTGGTCTGTGGGGTCTGGATCTGGCCCCGGGCTGGTTCTCTGTATTGCTGCAGCAATTTTGCACAGCAGGACCAGAAGCATTTCTTGGGATACTGTGCTTTTTGCGGGGTGCAAGAGGTCCCCGAGCCCCTTGCCTGGGGGAGATGCTGGGCAGAGCTGGGGAAGGACGGGGTTTGCCCCAGGTTGGGAGCCCCAAAGGCCACCTCCACTGGGACGGTGGCTCCAAGCAGGGCTGCAGCCTGCACCCCTTAAGCAGAGGCTGTCCCCTCGCCAGCTCTGCTTTCAGCTGGAGAAACTGAGTCATGGGAAGCATTTGGGGAGAGCGGGTTGATTCACTGCGAGCCTCTGTCCTTATCCCAAACCCCCCAGCGTGGATGAAGGGCAGATGCCGGCCAGATGGGGAGACATTGGTGGCTCTTCACCAGCCCCACTTGGGAAGTCCTGTCCCATCCCTGTGGAGCAGCTCGTGGTTGCCAGCTCTCCTCCAGCCGGCACTGCATCAAAGCCTGGTGTCCTGCTCACGGCCACCAGGAACCAGCCCTTTCCCAGCTCCCTTCGTACCTTCCCCAGGCAGCCGAGGGGCTCAGCTCTAGCACCTCCAGCTTTTCTTTTCCGAGTGGCTGCTTTTTCACCCCCTCACACCGGCAGGTCTGCCTTAGCGTCACTGCCCTTTCCAGGCTTAAAAATAGCTCGTGAAGCACGGAGAGGTGGCAGAAAGCAGCAGCCGCACCATCTCAAGCTCTCGCCGTGATCTCGCCGCCCCGCTGTTCATTCATTCATTCCTCCACTCCATTCATTCATGCCTCCGCTCTGCGTAGCCATCTGGGGACAGCTGTCTGTCTGCAGGCAGATCTGTCTGTTGGTCTGCTTGCATTTTCTTTCCCATCCCTCCTACCATCTCGTTTGCATGCTGGTATTTCCATGGGGAGCCTCCAAGCTCTGTCCCATCGTGTATCATGTGATGAGTTTTACTCGGGGCTCAGCCCGAGCGCGGTGCGTTATGAAGTGGCTCTTGTCGAGTCTCCTGCCCAGGGCTGCGAGGGGACAGAGGTGTTATTTCACCAAACAAACTCCCAGTGAACGATGTGCATTAGCAATGAGGGGTCGCAGCCAGGAAAATATTACCTTTCCCTTTGAGTGCTGACTGCGGAGGAAATTCTCACATTTACAGCTCCAGCGAGTCCGGCGCTCATGGAAAGAGGGGGCGGCTTTGATTTCTCTCCTCTTGTTGGTTTGATAACTTTGCAGCCCCCCCACCATGCATTGAGCCCCCCCAGGAACCGGCCACCGGTGGAGGCTACGCAGGCTTGCAGCTCCCTCCTTGGGAGCCTGTTTTAATTTGATTTTCCCGGAGGCCTGGCATGTGGCAGTGCGTGTGTGCGTGCTGCCCGTGTGTGTGTACGTTAATAAAAGATAAACAAACAGCACTTTTTCCTCCGGTGCACTCTGGGAGGGATGCGGCGGGGATGCCGAATGAAAGCGTGTGCTGTGGGCTGCGCCGGGGAGGGCTGAAGGGACATTCCTGGCATTGCTGAGCTCCTCGTGCAATGCGCGGGCCCTGGCCCAAATTGGAGTAAGGAGCCGTTAGCATCGGGGACCTGGGGAGGCCCACTCCCGCGCAGTGTTTACTCGCAGAGCTTAAATTAATACTGTCTGCTGACATCAGTTTTTTTGCCTGGTTTCCCAAGGAAACGAGCCGTATGCGATCGCAGCCTCTCTGCATAGATGCGTGCCTCTCTTCCCCATTTGAACCCCTGTCTAAGTTCAGCCAGATTTCACAGAGATCCTAAATGCCTCAAAATAATTATATTTTACTTAATTTTTTACATATATTAAAAAGGGTGGTTGATAAGTGGGAGAAACTGCCAATGCTCCCCATTGAAAGAAAAGCTTGCGCTTTTCTGCGTGCATGCACAACCATAACGTTAGACGCTAGAGAATCCCTGTGGAAGAGATGTATTAGTAGCATCCAAATCGTGGGATAAATATAACTGGGAGCCATGAGACATGGAGCTGCAGGAGAGCCAGCTCCATCCATCCTGCCGTGCAGATGAAGGGTTTGCTCCCATCTCTGGTTTACACCATGTTATTGCCTGTCATTTGTGACGGTTGTGGTGGGGATCAGCCTGCGGAGGATCTGTCAGCTGGTGTTCCTCCATCAACCCTTTTTGGCAGCTATTTTAGGAGTCAGTGATTCTGGGTGATGAATTCTGGATGATGACGAGTCTTCTGCTCAGTGTAGGAGACCTGTGATGTCCATTTTTGTGGGCAAAAGCTGGTTACTAGAGAAGGCAAAGAGTAGGGTGTTGGGGCTGTGTAGAAACCTCTACTTGCTCTCTTTTGTAGGTTTTCTCCAAAATCTTCAGCCACGAGGCACTGGAGAGCTATCTCCCTAAGATCCAGCTGGTGATCAAAGACACTCTTCGGGCCTGGAGCAGCAATCCCGAGTCCATCAACGTCTACCACGAGACCCAGAAGCTCACCTTCCGCATGGCCATCCGTGTCCTGCTGGGCTTCCGCATCCCCGATGAGGAACTCAACCGCCTCTTCGAGGTCTACCAGCAGTTTGTGGAGAATGTCTTCTCCTTGCCCGTGGATCTGCCCTTCAGCGGCTACAGGAGGGTAAGAGATTTGGGCTGAGTCCTCCACCAGCTGATAACACCGATCTGGGATTAATGGGGCGGTGGCTAATCCCCATCTCTACAGGTTCTCACTGGGATGTCTTCTCACCCTCTGACCTCTAGGAGTGAGTCCATTCTGGGCTACAAAGTCCTGTTTCGGTGGAGTGGAGAGGAAGATCCATTCATAGGGTTTTAGGGTGCTAGGGACTGTGTGGTTTGTTGCAAGAGAGAATCCAGTTGGGACTTGCCCAGATTTAATGCGTAATTTTTCCTCACTTCTAACTGGCAGTTTTGCTGTATTTTTTTGTTTGTGGGACCCTTCTCCTGTTAATTCCCTCCTGTCCCCAGGGTGAAACAGGCCAGTGGACCTTCTAATTCCAAGAACTATTCTAGTTTTTTGATGAATGATGCAAAACAAAAACTTAACAAAAATCATAGACAAAAAATTGTATGTTATTTGTGGGGAATTTTGGTAACAGAAATATGGGATTTTAAAATTTTTTATTGTGATTATCACTGCAAATTTTGTTATTGTTATTTGACCACGTGAATGAGCCCAACCATTTGCAGCCCCGAAGCATTTGCAGCAGCAGGTTAGCCTGGTGCAGCTGCACTCAGATAGGAATTGCTTTACTGAGACCAGGTGATAAAATTGCTCAGGAAAACCATTATGCTCCCGGGAAGAGGATCCTTTCAGATGAATTGACTTCCCTTTGAGAGACAATTTTCCCAGGGTGAGCCGGAGGCCTGTGAACTGCTGCAGTACGGGGTCTCCCACATCAGACCTATCATTTGCACATAGGTGTTGATTACTCTCGCCTGTAATCTCACCTACTCGGGGCTTGCTCCTCCTGCCCAGGGAACAACTTCAGCATCTTTATACTTCTCTTTGAGCATCTGCAATTGCAGTTGTATTACTTAGACGTGTTGTCCTGAGCACGTCTCCAGCTCCTGGGGACACTGGGCTGGGGATGGTGGTGTTAGCGTTGTGTCCTGCGTGGTCTGATGGGTTCTTGCTCCACAGGGCATCCGGGCACGCGAGACGCTGCAGAAGGGGCTGGAGAAAGCCATCCAGGAGAAACTGCAGAACACGCAGGGCAAGGACTACGCCGACGCACTGGACATCCTGATAGAGAGCGGCAAAGAGCATGGCAAGGAGCTAACCATGCAGGAGCTGAAGGTAAAGATCTTCCCCGTGGTCGCCTTGTCCTTGCTGTGCTTAGGGCAGGGGTTGCCTGAAGAGCAAAGCGTGAGCTCTGTAAGGAGGGTTTTTTTGGGGCAGACCTGAGGTGATCAGTGAGAGCTGGGGGACCACAATGTGTTGTTGGAGCTGCAGGTGGATCCTGGTCTGGTGGATTATGGTGCCAACAAGCCAGTTGCTTTCCTATGGGCCATATTTATTTGCAGATTGCGCTCAGCCCTTTCTAACAAGCATTTCCAGGGAATACGAAAAGACCATACAAATTTGCTGAAGCTTTCAGCCTTGACCAGCTTCACCCCTTGACCCATCCAGTTTTAAGGTGCCTCCTTTGCAGGGCATATGAGCCCTCGGCAGGTTGTTGTCTGCAGCAGGGTCACGGCATAACTTGTATTTCATGTGCCATCAAGAGCCATCCCCAGGGTCTTTTTTCCTGCCTGTCTGGTCCTCAGCATCCTCCAAGGCTCTGCGGGAAGCTCCCTATGGTGGGTGTCCAAGACCTGTGCCTGCACAGGGAGAGACCTTGCAGTTAGACATGACCAGGCTGGAGAGCTGCTGGGGGAAAAAAATGCCCCCCGGCAGCCTGCGTGCCTGTCCCTTGACGTGCCATGTCTGTCTGTCCATCCCCGGTGTCTTACCCTGGCTTCGCTCTTGTCTTTCAGGATGGCACCCTGGAGCTCATCTTCGCCGCCTACGCCACCACCGCCAGCGCCAGCACCTCTCTGATCACGCAGCTCCTCAAACACCCCCGGGTCCTGGAGAAGCTGCGGGAGGAGCTGCGCAGCAAGGGCATCCTCCACAACGGCTGCATCTGCGAGGGTTCCCTCCGCCTCGACAACATCAACAGCCTCCACTACCTGGACTGTGTCATCAAGGAGGTCCTTCGCCTCTTCACCCCCATCTCCGGGGGGTACCGGACGGTGCTGCAAACCTTCGAGCTGGATGTGAGTATTGCCATCTCTCCGGGTTGCGGCTGTGCCGTGAGCTCCCCAAAACAGCCTTTTGCGTGTTGTCGCAAAGCTTGCTTGAGCCCGGCTTAGACGAGACCTCAGGGAGGACAAATTAGGTCCTGCTGGTGATGGGAGGCAGAACTGCTCTGGATTCAGAGGAGGGTGATGGAATCTGGCCCATGGGAGGGAAGGGATGCGCCCAAGCTGTCAAAGAGGAGACAGGCGTGATGCTTCAAAGAGCAACTCGTGACAGTGTTTGACGCCAAAATCTGAACTGGGGTGTGACAAGGGAAAGGTTTACTGCAAAGAGCATCTTCCGGCTGCTGGATGACAGGCGGATTACTCACCGCAATGGCTGGAATTTCCTACTAGCAAAACAAAATCTTGAGGCCTGGCTCGTCGCTGTAAATCCTGCTAATGTAATGATTTGAGTCGGAAACCTTTTAAAGTGCTCAGGGGATGATAAATCCACCCCGTTTCTCATCGCCCAGGCCCTGACATGTGCGTCGGACATGTGGGGCTGACAGGCGGCAGGGTGTGAGCAAAGCCATGGGATGCTCTGGGGAGGGCTGGCCGGTGCTCAGGGCACGGCACGGGCGTGAGAAAAGCTGCTTCGCTTTGCTCGGCAGCAGTCAAGCACCACGGGGTTCCTGGTAGGCAACTCCTGCCAGAGACCGCAAAGCAAATAAATAGCAACGGATGATCCGTCGGGTCCCTGGGATAGAGGCAGGCATAAGCCCAGGGTTCCCATCTCCCAGCCCTTTGCACTGCACTCTCTGGTTTTCTTTCAAATTTGCAGCGTGCTCGAGCAATAAACCCAAAGAAAATGGGAAAAAGCAGGCAAAGCAAAACGGCTTCATCTTGCCCTCCTGCTCCTTCCCTCTTTACAGTGGGTTTGACTCGCTCTGGTTTTCTCTCCACCCCTTCCCTCCTCTCCGCAGGGTTTCCAAATCCCCAAAGGCTGGAGCGTGATGTACAGTATCCGGGACACCCACGACACCGCCCCCGTCTTCAAGGACGTGGACATCTTCGACCCCGACCGCTTTGGGCAGGGTCGAAGCGAAGACAAGGACGGCAGGTTCCACTACCTCCCCTTCGGAGGAGGCGTACGGACCTGTCTGGGCAAGCACCTGGCCAAGCTCTTCCTCAAGGCGCTGGCCATCGAGTTGGCCAGCACCAGCCGCTTCGAGCTCTCCACCAGGACTTTCCCCAAAATCACCCTGGTGCCCGTGGTCCATCCGGTCGACGGACTCAAGGTCAAATTTTTCGGACTGGATTCCAACCAGAACGAGATCCTGACGGGGACAGATGCCATGCTAGGGGCAACAGTGTAAAGCCCACGCCGGCGGCGCGAGGGATGGGCGGCCGGGGGACGGAGGGTTGGGGTGGGGGCAAGGGGACGAACAGGAGGGGAGGAGGACAGAGGGACGAGAAGCTTCTCCACGACGCTCGCTTCGCAGAGCCTCCGGGTCGGGACTGCTTTCTCCACCAGTGAAGCTGCCAAAACCGTTTTGCTCTTCCCGCGGGGCACGGAGAAGGTTGGGGTGTCGTCGTGCGTCTCGTTTCGTTTGAAAGGAGGAAGAGTCGCAAGACCCAAGTCAAGCTGGGATGTCTGACCATACACAGTATCTAAATATTATAAATATATATATATAAATATCTATAAAACACTTCTGCTGCGAGGAGGAGCGCTGCAAAGGCCCGACTGTGGGAAAGGCTTTGGAAATCAGCCGACGATCAGAGGTCTGGCCTCCCGGGGTGGCTCTCGGGTGGCCTCTGATTTTTTTTTTTTAACAGTGTTAAATTAGCTGGTGATAACAGTGTTTTGTTTTTTGGTTTTGATTTTTTTTTTTTGTTAATTTGTTTGGTTGTGTTTTTTTGTTTCGGGGCGTTGGAGGCTTTCCTTGGTGAGGGGGAGATGAGTGATGCCCATTCCCATCCCCTCTCCCGCTGGTGCTGGGGCGGGCTGGGGAGGGGGGACTGCCATTTCGCCTCCGCTGCGGGACCGAAAAACCCTGTGGTGTCTTGTCCAGGGCTGAACGGATGGTGAGCTGTCCTTCTGAGGCCTCGGACAAGTACATATTTGCGTTTTGCAAAATGCATTTTGCATTTGGGGCTTTGGGGGGGTGGGTGTCCTTTTTTTCTCATTGAGTTTCCTGCTGCTGCTACACGGCCTGTGTGCACCCATTCCCCTGCCGCAGCCCCTCACCAGCCCCTTTCCCATGCAAAGGCACCCGTTTTGGGGCCATTTCGGTGCCTTTGCTCTCCCTGAAGGTGCAGGCACCAGCCTCCGAACTGCACGGCCCCGCTGACCCACCACGGCTCCACGAGCGCCGGGGCGCTGAGCAAAGCCGCCCCGCTCAGAGCTGCTCGTTTCGGTGCGTCCTCTTCCCCAGGAGGCGTTTGCATTAAAGGTGATCTCGATAAATAAGCCAACGCACACATTGTTTGTCTCGTGTTTGGGTTTTGTTTGGCGATGAGAGAGCTCGGCAGGAAGGAGAGCGAGCGGCCGGCTCCTTGCAAGCTGTCCGCCCTGTCCCACCGCTAACCCAGGAGAGGGCCCCTACCCAAAACTTCTCCGGCACAAGCAAGCAGCCACCAAGGTATCTTGCATTCGATTCGCTGGGTGGGTTTATTTTATTTTATTTTTCGCATGCAAGAGGCTTCTGGGTTGAGCGTGAGATGGGTGGGTCATGTCTGAAGTGGACATGGCCTTGCATGTGGGTGCAGAGCAAAAGCTCCCCGAGCGCCCTGGCAGGGGTTTGGTTCAGACCAGAGCCAAGCACTGGGTCAGGAGATCCCTCTCTAATTTGAGGCATCTCTGCCCAACCTGCCCAGCCCCGCTCCTCTCCCATCTCCTGCCCTCCGGGGTGGAAAGAACAACACAAGGACCATGGCTGAGACCTCTTCTAACCGTGATGGGAAAAGATCTTGTGCTTGGGTGGGCAGCTTGGCTTTCAGCTTTAAAGGTGTCCAGATAAGTCGGAGGGGTTGAAATAAGAAAGGCGAAGGGGCAGATGTGACTTACCAGGTTGCTTTGGAGGTTGTGCTTTTGATGAGTGGGTGCCTCTTTGGAAGGTCGAAGGAAGTGTGAAGCGAGCAATGGTGATGGCTGCCTTTGCCAGCCCGTCGTCTGGTGGGGGCAAGGAGGAGGGAGGCAGTTTTTTAGCCAGGGGAAGCACTTGAGGTCGGATTGCTGTCAGCCAAGCTGCCAGAAACCCCCCCAGAAGCATCCCGGTGGATGGTCTCTAGTCACACCGGGGTGCACAGCTTGATTTTTCAGGTTGATTGAACCTGAAATAGAACTCCCAGTCTTCTAGGAGATGCCATTCAGATCCAGGGCTTGCCTTCTGGTTGGTAAACAATGTGCCAAACCCAAAAGCAAGGTCTCGGGAGCCTCTGGCTATGGGCACCGTGTCCCTGAAGCAGAGGCTCAGCTAGTTTGCCAGCCTGGAAATTTTGAGCGAGACACTGCTAGCTCAGGCACTGTTGAGATTTCAGGTATTTTCCTTGTCCCTGACGGAGAGAAAACTTTCCTGGTGATCAAAGGAGCTTAATTGCAATTCAAATCCCAAAGGGTGAAGAAGCAAAGAGGAACATAAACCTGAATGTGGTGGGAAGAGGTGAGTCTCCCAGGGGCAAACATTTGGGGGAAGGTAAGTGGCACGTGAGGGTGTCCGTGGTCTTTGTGGATGATGAGCCCTTGGAGGACGTGGGGACGGGGGCAGGAGGTGGATGGTCTGGGGTGGGGGGGGACCTGCAGGGTGCAAACCCATCAGAGACCCCCCGCCAGGTGCTCTCCAGGAGCCCCCGTCTCCACCCGAGACCTGCCAGGGGAATAAAACTGTGCTCGGGGGAGAGGAGGCGGAAAAAGGGGAAAGCTGGAGAGGGGAACGGCCAGCAAGGTTAAAAGGTCTGGTTAGAGCTCAGAGGTGGCTTCGCGCCGTGCTGCGGCGAGCAAAATCTCCTGGGCAGGCTTTTCCGAAAGGGCTCGGTCCCGCTTGTGCTTACGGGAAATCAGTGAAGGGTTTTGCTGAAATTTTTATTTTAACTTCCAATGTCATTACAAAGTGAAAACCAAACATGCTTTTGAGTGAGTGGTTGATTGGAGAGCGGTAATATAAGATGCATACATCCATTATATATATATGCTTACATCATGTGTATATATAATGTTTGTGTGTGTGAGTATTTAATCTAGGCATAAGTAAGTCATGCTTTTGTTTTTCCATTCCTAACTAATATAACTTGACTAAAAAAGTTGCTGCAGTGGGTTTGCAGAATAAAGCACTTTGAATCTCAGAATTGTTTGTTTGTTTTGTTTTGTTTTGTTTTTTTTCTTAGCACAGTCCAATTTGCTATAATATTATTTTATACACAAATTTTTTTTTTTTGGTCTGTCTTTATAAACTATTATAAGTACTATTTTTGTTATAATTCAAAATAGATATTTAGTATAAAGTTTTGCTGTTAAATATTTGTTATTTAGTAAAATATGATTTTTTTCTCTTTATTGTAAACATGGTCTGGAAAAATATTAATATGTTTTATCACAGTTGTTTTTAATATTAAAAAAAAGAAAAAAGCACTTGTGGAGTTTTTCGTTATGAAATTGGTGCCGTGTGAACATGTGTTTCAGTCATGTGGTTTTTAATATGTATATAATATTATGTGTCACATATTAAAATGAATGTTGTGTATTTTGTGATCTTAAAAAAAAATAATCCATGTGGCTATTTTATAGACTTCCATAATAAAAAGAGTTGAATCTCCAACCTTTTTGTTTCATATCCATCTGCATCTCCTCTCGACGGGCTTGTGGCCTTCTGGTTTGGGGTCTTAAGGTAACATCCCCATCCTGGGAACTGGAGCACCCTGTAAGTGGGATTTTTGCACCCACCTGGGGACCCATCGTTCTCCATGGTCAGGGTGAGGCCTTACTGGCTGGCACAGATTGAAATACGTGAAATCCCACTTGAAAATAAGAAAAAGCTTTATTATGGGGAGGATGGGCAAACGTTGAACCAAGTTAACCAGAGATGTTGTGGAGTGTCCATCCCTGGAGATACTCAGAGCCTGACTGGACGTGGTCCTGAGCAACCTGACCAAGGGTTCGGTGAGCTCCAGGAGAGCCAGTTTCTGCCCAAAGCTTTTACCTCTCCCCAGCAAGGGACAGAGGCTGGACAAAACAAGCGGGTGAGAAGGGAAAGGTGCATATCTCCAGTTGCGTGTGCGCCCTGGCCTTTGCTGCTGGCTCTTTCAGGAGCTTACACTGTGCAGAGAAGGCACAGGAGACCACCATGGGTGAAGAACATACACCCAACTCCTGACTGCATTGACAGGCTGGATGGTGGGCAGGATGCGCGTGGTGGACCAGATGAGGCAGGACACGCTTCCCAAGGATAGCCCAGGTGGGAAGGACCCCGTGATGAGCAGCAGCAGTGCTGCAGGTTGGGTGGGAGCAAGACAGGTTGTCTCCAGCCCTCCCATCATCTCCCATTTGGGCTATTGAGAGATTGACTGCTCCAGGAACCAGCTCCTCAGCAAACCTGTGTCCCAGAGTTTTCTGTGAGCAGGGCTTGCTTTGAGCTTTTTAAACCCAAAAGGTTTCAGGACCTTTTGGCCCTGACGAAGTGCTTTGCATGAGATGTCACAGGACAAGCTACTGGTGGGAGTTTCAGCTGCACCTGTCCCAGAGTGGAGATGGGGTGGGTTGGGAGTGCTTAGAGTAATTAGGTAATTATTTAAGCAATTAGCTTCTGTCTCCTTGCTCTTCTCCCTGTAAAAAGCTCCGATAGTGCCCTGGCTGTGGTGGGAGTGTTGAAGAACAGGATGTTGCTGCTCTGCAAACCCTTCCTATGATCACATTCAAAGGCAAGTGAAGGCTGGAGGAATTAATATAGCTCTTTTCACTTGGCTGGAAAATATGACCTTGCTACCCAAGCCTATGTCCCTTTGGTGCAGCCAGAGGATCTGAGGCTCCTTTCCCTCCCTTTAGTGCTTTGCGGCCGCTCTCTTTTCCTAGTTGCTGCTCTGGATGTGTCCTGCCAACAGCGGTCTTGCCGTGTCTGTCCCGGCTGTCGCCAAAAAACACCGTGCGGTTGCTCTCGTCCGCGGTCCTGTCCCCTTCCTGGCCTCTCCTTGAGCTGAAAGGGCCGATGTGTCACCTCCTCGCCCTTCCCTTCCAACCCGCGATGCATTTATAATACCCATCTGTCACCTATTTAATAGCAGGGAAGGTCATTTCCTTTTGGCCTTTTCTCCTTGGGATTTCTTTTCTCCCCTCCGCCGCTCCCCTCCCTTTGCTTCTATTTATTTATTTATTTTTAATTTATGGCTTTGAG